AAGTATGGCTAGTTCCTAGTATTCTTTTGGTGTAGTAACATGATTTTTACGTGAAGGCAACATCTAGCTATCCTATTACGTAAATTCTTATCACTMTCACTCGCTTCCTGCTAAACTGAGCCACAACAGGTATATTCACTTYAGTTTGATCCAGAACATACTTTTTAGAAAATCTTTGGGGTTGTTAGATTTCCATATACACCTTTTTTATGCACTTGTATTGGAAAAGGTTTACATGCATTGATATGCCCACAGGCCAACCAATGTGCAATGTATATTTAGTACTTTCCCCCTGTATTGGATACCTTTTTCAAACCCTTCCAAGCAGGGCTCTAATTGCCAAACTCCAGCCTCTATGAACAGATTGCACTGCCACCACAATAGATCCACCACTTCCCTTGACATGCCAATGTCATCGTCTGCTATGCTGTTACTGCGGTCAAAATACAAAATATCGGTCAGGACCGATATTTGATATTTCGGTTATATCGATGATATATCGGAGATATATCAGTCCAAAATAGCGGTTAATATAAGATTTCTTAGAATTATATATATATATATTATATGTATGCATCCATAAACATATCATATGCATTAATTAGAAATTAGAAATATAGTTTCAAAACAAAAACATCACATAGACAAGTCTCACAAAACAAAATAGGAAAAGTGTTAAAAAACGAGCTAATCGCAAACAATAAGCATGAGCTGTGAAAGAACCGAGAAGAGAAGAAGCGTGAACTGTGAAGAACCGAGAAGAGAAGAAGCGTGAGACTTAATATATGTGTTAACTGGTTGACCAAATAAGAGGCCCAAAAAACTAAGCCCGACATGTAATAGAAAAAGCCCAAACATTTGTCTTATAGAAAATCGGTATATCGGACCGATTTTTCCATCAAAATATCGGTAAATATCACCGATATTATCGGAACTGATTTAAGGCAAATGTTTGGACCTTTTTTTATTGGGTGGTTCCAACCGACGTTGAGCTCCAAGAGTTTGTGGAAGCAAGAGATGGTCTCCTTTGGTTGGATGTAAGAGAAGCAATGGGAGGTAATGAACAAGTCGAGCCAAGTACAAGAAGTAAAAGGGAGCACTATAGGGATGATAATGATGATCATGTTGGAGATGAAGGGGAAGAAGGGGAAGATTGGGAAGCTAACCTAAATGAAGAAGTGAACGTATTAGATGATGTTGACTCGGATGCCGAACCTATTGCTTGCGATTAGCTCGTTTTTAAACACTTTTCCTATTTTGTTTTGTGAGACTTGTTTATGTGATGTTTTAATTTTGAAACTATATTTCTAAACTCTAATTAATGCATATGGTATGTTTATGGATGCATACATAATATATATATATATATATATATATATAATTCTAAGAAATATTATATCAACCGCTATTTTGGACCGATATATCACCGATATAACCGAAATATCGAATATCGGTCATGACCCATTTTTTGTATTTTGACCGCAGTAACAACATAGCCTATCACGTCTTTTTGTAGATGGGGGCTTTGAAAGTTTCTCTTCCCTGAACTAATGCCCCTGTTTGTTATGTCTCAAAGCAAGAATGATCATTCGATCGATTATCAAGGCAGAAGGGAAGGAGTATTATTCTAGTTGTGTGTTGATGATATCACTATTATGGGATCTGATATTCAAGGGATGGCTGAGTCAGGAATTAGATGGCAGTTTCATGTACAGATCTTGGTGGTCTCCCGTACATTCCATACAATATCGAGAGAGAGAAATTTATACCAAAGAAATTATATTTTTGATCTCCTAAGCATAGAATCTTTTACCGAAGTACCTTCTTGATCTCCCAAGTGTAGGATCGTTGGCTGTAAACCTGTGAACTGGTCCTTTTCTCCCTTCTTGTGAAAAGGAACTTCAAAAGATGGACTTCATGTAGCACATTCCAATAAGTTCAGAAGACTTGGGAGAAAGCGGAAATATCTAACTGTGATGCAGACTTACATTTTATATTCAGTGTTTCTTTGAAGTAAACCAGCTGGCGATGTAATGATTAAAATATAATTAAAGTACTATACTCTTCAAGTCAAATATAGATGAACTCATACCTTCCAGCACCAACAACAACGATATTTTGCTTTGGGAAGTCGATCATCATCTTTTGTTGTGCTCTTACAGCTCCCAGAAGACCAGCAACTGCAACTCCTGCTGTTCCCTGGACCATTAATGAACAATTAGTTAAATCTAGTCTAGTCAGTCATCCACTAAAAGAATTATTAACATGCAAACATAGTCATCATATATCAAGAAAATGGAAAGCCAATACTTCAGTGGTAGCTGGTGCAGTGTACAGAACTCATAAAAGTAATATATGAGAAATAAGAACACGAGCAGCAATCATTTCTTGCTGCTAGATATAGTAAATTATTAGTGTTCCATTTTCTTGTTTGTAAAAGTATCATTTCCTTATATTAATAATATAAGTTGTATATATAATAATGCAATCCTCTCTTAATCAGTACATAGAAATACATGATTCTTGTACAATATTACATAGTGAACAAAACCCTAGCCGTCTCATGGGATTAGCCGAGGTGCATGCAAGCTGGGCAAGACTCCCTTAGTTATTAAAAAAACCTATCTGCCCGCATCCGAAACTCCTTCTGGAATGTTAACTGAATGATAGTGGTATCACAATGGCCTTATGTAATGCAATGGAACCACAAGTCCCAAGTGTTGCCCATAGCTACCCTGCCACAAAGTAGATGTGGGAGTACTTAAGAGTCTTCTAGGCCAAGGAATTCTTGTCCCATACTTCATCCATATTCGTGTCCTACTTCTGATGCGAGCAAGGTGACTCAAATCTCACCGACTACTACACCAGACTATCAAAGCTATTAGAAAAACTTCAAGTCTCTTCCCTGTAACTCATGATGTTAAAGTTTAGGAGGAACGTTTAGCTAAAATGAATGTGATGACGCTCATTTTAGGATTGTCTCCCAGCTATTCAGATAAACCACAAGGGTTTTGCGTCTTGATTTGATATGTAACCTAATTACAATCAGTCTCTATATATAGAGATACTAATTACATAGGAGTGCCCTCTACATTATACTAATTACACTTAAGTACATTCAATCCAATACGCCCCCACAAGTTAAGGATGGGTAATGACCTGTATCATAAAAATGGAAATCTAGGAGTCAGCAACGGCTTCGTGAAAATATCAGCAGTTTGCTCTTTTGTGGAAATGAATTGTACACGAAGGTCTCCTTGAGCAACCTTTTCTCTGACAAAATGAAAATCAACTTCCACATGCTTTGTCCGTGCATGAAAGACCGAGTTGGCTGATAGATAGGTTGCGTCACACCACGGGATAGTAGTTGATGCACACGAACGCCAAGTTCACGAAGGAGAGCTTGAAGCCAGGTAAGTTCAGCTACAGTATCAGCCAGAGCTTTGTATTCCGACTCAGTAGAGGATCGAGAAACAATGCATTGTTTGTGAGCGATCCAAGATACAATGTTAGAACCCAAATAGATGGAAAATCCCCGTGGACCGACGATCATCTAGACACCCAGCCCAATCAACATCGGAGAAGGCTTGGAGAGACTGACCAGCATAAGAGAAGGCTTGGAGAGATAAAGTAGATGCTTGAGGAATGAGTAAGCCACAGTCAACAATGCCCCAAAGATAGCGTAGAATCCGTTTAACCGCAGACCAATGTGATTCAGTAGGGGCATGCATGAATTGACACACTTTATTAACTGCAAAAGCGGTATTTGGCAAGAGTAACATATTGAAGAGCACTAACGACCTGTCTGTATTTAACTGGGTCAAAAAAGCAGGACTGTCAGCTAAAGATAGCGAACGCGATGAGGTCATGGGGGAAGGCATGGGCTTAGATCTGGGAGGCCTCCCTATTGTAAGAGCTTCAAAATGTACCTCTGTTGAGAAAGAATGATGGCTAGTCCTTGCGGGACAATCTTAATACCCAAGAAGTAGTTTAGAGGGCCTAGATCCTTTATCGCAAAAACTGAGCCCAGTTGTTGAACAATGGAGTCGATAGCAGCATTATTGTTTCTCGTGATGATGATGTCGTCAACATACGATAAGATGTATAAAAAAGTGCTAGCATGACTGGAAATAAACAGTGAAGGATCAGTCTTGAAGCCTACAAAGCCAAGGGTATGAAGAGCCTTGGAAAGGTGGTGAAACCAAGCCCATGGGCCTACTTGAGGCCGTAAATGGACTTCTGGAGTAGACAAACATGATCTGATCTTTATGGGTCAATAAAGCCTGGAGGCTCCTTCATATAGACTATTTCAGTAAGGTGGCCATGAAGAAAAACATTTCGAACATCAAGTTGCCTGAGCGACCATTTCTGAGAAACCGTAAGCGATAAAACAACCCTGATGGTAGTGGTCTTGACAACAGGACTGAAGGTTTCGTGAAAATCAATGCCATGTTGATGCCGAAAACCTTTGCGACGAGTCTCGCTTTGTAACGAGTGATGGCACCTGTCTTGTCCCGTTTTATCCTGTAAACCCACTTACAATCAACAACATTTAGTATCATGAGCATGAGGAACTAGAGACCAGATGCCGTTTTTAACAATAGCGGAGTACTCCTCGGCCATAGCTTGACACAACTCAGGAGATTTTTTGGCAATGGTAAACGAGATTGGTTCAATAGGTCTAATGGAGGTGGTGGTAAGATTAGCTGAGGGTTTGAAGGGAACCCGTTGTTTGGGGTTAGGCCGGAGGTTAGGAGGACCTAGGAGGCGGAGGTGGTGATGGTGATGGAGAGGAGGAAGTGGATGATAATGGAGAAGAACCACTGATATCTGGATCATGGTGTAACAGGGAAGTGGGTTCAGGAGAAGATTGAGAGATGAGCAAGAAAGTATGTGGTGAACTGGGGGCGGATCAGGTATTACAGGAGATGGGGCGACAGGTGGAGTGTTGTCAGTTACCACGTGAGGTGATATCGAAGAGGTGTTGGGACATGATGATGTAGGTGAGGAAATGGGGACAGTAGGAATAGCAAAGGGGAAGTTGTCTTCATTAAAGCGAAAATGATGAGTAATGTATAAATGCTCGGTCGACAAGTCAAGGCAACGAGAGCCATGATGGAAAGTACTATACCCAATAAAGACGCAAGGGGTCGACCGAAAGTCAATTTTGTGATGGTTGTACGGTCAAAGGTGAGGAAAGCATTGACAACCGAAGACCAGAAAAAGGGAATAACTAGGAGATCGTTTGAAGAGATGTTCGAACGGTGATTTGTTTTTTGAGGTTTGTGAAGGCATGCGATTGATTAGGTGTACTAGCAATATCGAAGGCGTAATGCCAGAAACATTGAGGAACACTGGATTAAGCAAGCAGAGTGAGACCAGTTTCAACGACATATCGATTGTGTCGTTCCACGAAGCTGTTTTGCTAACTGTGTGAGGACATGAACGACGATGAACAATGCCAAGGGATGAGAAGAAGGGAGATAGATTTCGAAATTCACCACCCCAGTTAGTTTGAAAGTTTTTTATCTTTGTAGTAAATTGTCTTTCGGCCATGGTAAGAAAGCCTTTGAAGGTGTGTTGTAGACATCTAATTTTTGAGCCAATGGAGAGATCCACATATAACGAGAATAATGATCAACACATAGCATAAATTAACGATGACCTTCAAAAGATAGAACATGTGCAAGACCCAAACATCACAATAAACCAAATCTAAAATTTTTACTTCGAAAGGAAGAAACACGTGATGAATGTTTTGATGATTTGCCCATTTGACAAGACGTACAAAAAGGTAATGTCTTATTTGTAGCAGGAATAGAAAATCTAGAAAGCATAAAATGAAAAAGACATTGATGTGGATGACCAAGCCACCTATGCCAAATGGTAGAGGATGCACGATCGGCAGCAAAGCGATTTTATTGATAGGCTTGAGCTGGGGTAGACGAACAGAGTAAAGACCATTCTCACTGCAGGGTAGTGCGTGTAGACTTGTCCTACACGATAAAAATAGTTGAGTTAAATTCAAAGAAAACATTGTTATCTAAACAAAATTCTGGACAAAAAGAAGCTTTTTGGTGATTTCTGGGACGTGAAGAATATTAGATAGACAAAAGGGTTTGTATGGTGAGTAACTGGTTGAGGAGCCAATATGAAGTATAGGAAGTCCCTTACCGTTACCAACATGGAGAGTGTCACTACCATGATAAGCTTCAAATTTATCCATGCTTGCTAAATTAGGCGTAACATGACTGTTTGCTCCCGTGTCACGAAAGCATGAAGTTGATTCAGCAGATGGGGAGGCACGGCTGTTCGCAAAGTTAGCAGTCTGCCTAGGACGAATGGTGGACGGATCACGATTAGGACACTGTGATGGGAGGTGCCTAATACCACAGCGAGTACAAGTTCCGTTCTGTATATTGTGTTTTGATTGGATGGCCAGCTAAATTGGCGACCATCGCCATGTCCACGGCTGCTACCACGAGAAGTTTCATGGCGACGATTACCACGGTTGTTGTGGGGCTGACGAGAACCATAGAAAGCTTGAGGGCCTGAAGTTGCAGTAGGCTGATAACCAAGGGTAGATGCAATGGAACTGATCTGAGCAGCAAGTTGTTGATGATGATAGACAGAAGGCTGTGATAAACTAGAATTGCCGGTTGTAGCTGCAAAAACCTGAGAAACAAATGGAGTAGAGGCAAGTTTTCCCAAGCATGTAGTCATGGTCACTGAGAAGGACATGAAGTTCATTGAAGGCAGTCGGGAATTGACGTGCGGTGATGGTAGATTTAAGACCATTGTATTCTTCACGGAGACCAGAAACTACAAGCATAACGAGATCTAGAGTTTCATCACCTTTCATCTGAGTCTTGAGAAGTTGAGCTTTCAGTGTATACTCCTTGGATGATGTGTGAGGGGCATAGGCTCGTTCTAGGGCAAGCCATAGATCACGGGAAGTTTCACCTTCGACATGTCGAAAAGAGGCTTCGGAGATAGTGGAGATGATCAGCATGCGAACGTGAGCATCATTAGAAATCCAAATCGGGTAATTAGGGTTATCTTGTGGATCGGTGATAGCCTTTGGATCAGAGGTGCTCGTGGTTGATGGTAGATGTTTGGATGCGTAATCAGAGAGAACTCTCTATTATATGATTCATCAGTAAAATTCAAATTTACAAGAGGAGAGACACTATATATAG